ACCCTACGGCGCGTGTGCGCTCTTTTTTTTACGAGAACACGCCCCTTCAAGCGCTTTGAGCGTGTTTGAGCGCGGCAGGGGGGTCCTTAAGCGCACGCTCGCGCTCAAGCGCGCTTAAACGATTTCATTGTAGTATGGCTAGCCTATTTTTGAACCGCGCAAGGGAACCAATAAGCCCGGATGTGTGAAACACTTGAAATGAAGTGAGTTGAACGCCGTGAAATTCCTCCCTTGCGAGGAAAAAGGCTCTTATTTTTCGACCATTGACCTTCACGGCAATAAAGAGTGTTGTCACGGTGATGCCACGATTACACACCCTCACTCGACCGAAGTAGTCTATGATCACCAACATCGACTCGTCGGTTTCCCAGACAAAACCATACACAAAGTTTCTGATGCAACTTGTCCTGCGGCGTTCACTTTAGTTTTTCACATAGAATGCGTCATGCTTCCACCATTTTATAAGTTTGGACGGGTTCCTCTTTGACGGGTTCCCACTTCAGGAGGGAGTCCAACCCGATAGGGAATGCGTGTACATCGTTAGTCAGAATGCAGAGGTACCAAAACTTCGTCCCTGTATAACGACAAATCTGAAGGCGCCCATCTTCCGTAGTTTGCCACAATGGGATTTCCCCATCAGGGGCTACATCATTTTCGAGGTGCAGGTAGTCACGGCCCGCACCACAACGCCCAATCTCGTCCCAAATATATTTTGACAAAATGATCAGCTCGGTGTCTGGCATTGAGGAGTTGATACTCAGCGATGAGGTATCGACATTCATTCTGCATCAGAGGGAAAACACAAGGACATAAGTCAGTTGCGATTCTTCGATTGCAAGAAAAAACACTTGGCTATGTTATGCATTCTACACAAAAGGGTTCGATAACTGGGAATAGATTCGCACTTCGCAAGAGACACCATCTTGTGGGCTTCATAAAAGGGTTCGATAACTGAGAATAGATTCGCACTTCATGAAAAGGTTCGATAACTGGGAAGAGATTCGCACTTCGAAAGAGAGTGTAAGTTATGTAACCGCCGCCTCGTAAGAGATGCAAACTCTATAACCGCCGCTTAATATCGACTTATTTTTCACACATCATTCATGTGGAACGGTCAGACTACTCTCTCAGTGACGATCACTATCCATAAAGATATTCAAGATGTCCATTGCAACAGTATGGACAGTGGTATACATCACACTGTCGTCCGTCGAGAAACTTAACTACTTTTGTACCCGACCGACGGTGCTCCTCCTCTCGAAAAACAGCCTCTAGGTTATGGTCCCTATGTTCCACTCTCCATAAAATCTCGTCACAGTTATCGAAAAGGTAGTGCAACTGAGAGTGCACCAAACAGTCGACTCTAAAATTGTGCTCCTTTCTTAATGCCACGTTGTGTGATAACCGGTCTCTGAAGCGTCTGAGCACACCCTCGACCGTGGGGTTGTGAAACACTTGCAAGAAATTGAGGGTGACTCCTCGGAACTCCTCCCTTGCAATGAAAAGAGCTTTCATCTTTCGACCGTCAACCTTCACAGCTGTGAACAGCTTGACGACCATCGTGTTACGATTCAGCACCTAAATGCGACCGTAATAATCAATGATGACCGGTGTAGGCACAACCGGTCGTCCCAGACAAAACAAGGTACATAGCTTTACATGCGTCTTGTCGGTAGCTTACCATCTCTGCTTCGCACAGAGGATGCGCCACGCATCGGTTGTCTGATCAGGACTGGCAGATCCTGGGTCTTTATCCTCGTCGACGGGCTCTACATCAATTTCGTCTTCCAAGGAATACAGGTACCAGAAGTTTCAACCCATACCACTGTCGACCACAAGATCATCCGCGGTGGCGCCCATTCGAAATTCCATGGAAACTTGCCCGTCCGGTGGAATATCCGACTCGAGGTTAAGATATCGGCGTGAACAGTTCACTCGTTCACACTCCCATATATTATTGTCCAAATTGAAGAGACCGAGGTCGGAAATCCGGTCTGGAGAAACGTCGTCGAGAGACGAGCAGGAAGCTCTTGCGGGAACCGACGTCCGATTGGGGTTCATCTTGCATTACGTGATGAAGCACGGGGTAGCGTGTTAGCGATGACGCACAGCGAGTCTAGCAAGACTGGCAACTGCGAGTATACTCCCACTTACGCCAGCTCATTATGAAGAGAAGTCCCACACATCTATCGAAAGGAACAATGAAGCGGCCTACTCGGGGTCTGATAACTGAGAATAGATTCACACTTCGTAACAAGGTGTCCGCACTCCCAATTGCGCAAGGTACAGGAGAAGTGAAAAGAGACACATCTACTGAATATTCTTGTTTTTTTTTTTCGGGTGCTTGAAACATCCATGGGCAGGCCTGCAATCTTAGGATGGGCTGGTCTCTCCTTGAGTCTAGCAGAAGGTAGCTTGAGCTGGGAGACAAGAACTCGAGCCACCTTCTGCTAGTCAACCCTCCCTTTTTATTTTACTTTTCTTTTATAAAAAGCACGATGGCCTTGAGATATATGGACACTGGCAGGGCGTTAGATTGACGCACGGCTGGACACACACCCCCTTCGGATGACACAGGTTAGCAGCTATTACAGACACTGCCTGCGCACCACCCAATGGTTGTTCATGATGTAATATGTTGGTTCTGGGTTTCACATGGGTTGCTTGGGGGTGTTGGCCTTGGGTGTTCTGTTGATCTCCCCAGTCTGGCATATGACACGTTCGTGCCATTTCCACTGGTCGTTCACATGGTAGAGTCGTTCGATTACGTGTGACAAGGTCACGGGTTCGAGCTTGATTCGGACCTCGGGGGGGTCTGTCTAGCTTACCGCGTTCTCTGTCTTCGATATACAGGGTATACATAGTCTTCGGACATAACATAGAATTATATACATCGCCAATGGGCTATATATACACACATCGCCTTAGCCTTCGTACATAACATAGAACTATATATCGCCTTCGGGCTACATACACATACATAGCCTTCAGACATAACATAGAACTACACATCGCCTACGGACTACATACATATATATATATAGCCTTCGGACATAACGTCGAACTATATATCGCCTATGGGCTACATACACGTATATATAGCCTTTGGACATAACATAGCCCTCAGACATAACATAGAACTATATATCGCCTATGGGCTACATACACATATATATAGCCTTCGGACATAACATAGAACTACACCTCGATTATGGGCTACGTACACAAGGCTGGGGGGGTCTAGTATCTGCAGTGGGTTCAGGTTGGTTGGATAGGGTGCCATTGGGTGCGATTCCTACTGACATTCGGATAGAACTGTCTGGTGGCCATATATTGGGACCTGTGGTAGATTGTCTGGGCCTGGTGCCCGAAGTTCCCGTTCGACAAGGTTCGTCCGATTCCGCTTCCACCAGGGCTGGGCACCTTATGAGCCCTGGTGCCTATCACTGCTGTTCGGTCCAAGTTGCCTACCCATTGGTAGGGCAATGGTCCTGAGTGCTGGTCACACTGAGGCAGGATAGTGGGATAGGGGGTGCCCTAGGAGTATTGACGTGAGGAAGGGATTGGAGGTGGTCTCATATTCCTGGACACCCGTGGCTCACAGCTCCAAGTGATCACTGTGCATTCAGGGACTGGCCTCTACAACACCCTGGACTTCTCAACAACAAAAAAAAAAAACAAAAAAAAAAAAGGAAAACAGGAGATATGATCGTCAAACTGTCCGGCCCTAGGTGATTCAAGATGATTGAAGTTTCTTTCTTCACAATCATTTGAGTCGAATCCAGCAAACAGAATATTCAGCATATAATGTGAGCAGGAGGGAAGGCTGAGGGCACATACTCAGACAATGATTCTTTCAAATCAGCTCTAAAGACAAAACCGTTAGGGCGATCAGATAGATGCAGTACACGCCTCAATAATTGCGGTCAGATGAGAAAAGAGGTGTTACACACAACTTCACAAAAGAACAAACA